CATGGAAAAGCAGAGCAGTAGCAGCAGCGTGGCAGACCTTTCTGAAACCCTACTTGTCCCCTTTCAGTGTAACTGCAAACCACTGGTAACCATGTGCTCTGTGATGGACCTGAAGTCCTGGGAATTGCTCCCACAGTGCTGTGGGACTGGAAAACATCTGCATATGGCATGTATGGAAACCTGGATTGGGTGAGAAAAATCCACTGGACACAATCCATAGCACGTAACCACCAACTTTTCTCTGTAGAGTTATCCTCCAGCAATGACCCAGACCACACGCATCAGAGTGTGAGAGCTGAGACCTGCTGGCAAAGGGATGCTCTTTAGGAGCTGTTGGGACACATGGACACCAGCATGTCTGTCCAGTTGTGCTGCACCTTCTGTGCTCCCCAGGGCTTCTATGGGGTTTCTGCAATGTCGCAGGCCAGGTGGGATGGGACCGGGCGTTGGTGAGAGAGAGCCAGGGTCACTGCCCAGTGGAGGAGAGCAGCTGGCAGGGTGGGGAGCGCATCTGGCAGGTGCTGCTGCCTGAGAGCTGAGCATCAGCCTGAGGTCCTGGAGCACAGGCTGGGGAAGTGTTTGGTGATCACTCACCCTGGGGGAGAGGAGGCAGAGGTTCCTCATGCTGCCTGCCAGGTGCATGTCTGTGCTGGGGTTGCATGGGCTGTCCCCAAGCTACCTCTGACCGTGCCATAACGGGGTCAGATGGTGAGCAGAACTGCACAAGGCAGAGTGCAATGAGGGTGCAATGGGACATCCCATCCTCTTGCCATCAGGAGGAGATCATCCGTCAGTGCCAGTCGGCCGGTTTGAGGTCCCAGTCCGTCCTGTCTCTGGACTACACGGAACACAGAGCTGCAGCATCAATGTGATGAGCTTGCGGTTGGGTCAGCCCGAGTGCTCAGGAGCAGGAGGCTGCACCCTGACGAAGGGTTGGGTAGGAGGGCGGGCTGCCTGCTTCCATCTCCTCGGCTGCCTGCCAGGGAAGGTGTGGATCCAGCTCGTCTGGCTGCTGTTGAGATGCCTGACTGTGCATCTGCGAGGGAGGCTTCTAGAGGATCCTGCCCGCCCAGGTTTCCATGGAGAGCGTCTCCTTGTTGAGGAGGGAGCCGTCTGGCAGACAGTACAGCCGTGGAAATACCGATAGAGCATTTGTTTTCCAAAGCACATGAATAACATCCCTAACAGCTAGCAGCCTCACTTCCTCCGCTTGCCCCACCAGCGGTCTGGCAGAGCGACCTGGGATGCCTGCGGTGTCTTTATCCTCCCAGCTCCTCGCTGTGCGCTCGTCTGAGCATCCCCAGTTTGGCTCTATCTGCCCAGCCCGCCCGGTTTCCCTTCCAGTTGGCAGGCATGGCTCCTCCTGGCACAGGGCTGCAGGGAGGCAGCAGCCATCTTCGCTGGGGGACGCGTTTGACTTCACTGCTGGAGGGAAGAACGGAGCGTTGTAGGCGGCAAAACTGGGGAAGTTTTGCTCCCACCTCCCGTGGGATGTGAGTGGAATCGCTTCCGTGAACAAAATGTGCTTCCTTGGATCTCCTGGTTATTTTGCATGCTTTTGAAAGACCAAGGGGAAGCTTAAGAGCTGTCGAGGCAGCAGACGGCAATGCAAGGTGAATGCAACAGCCCCTGGTGAAGGGGACTGAGCTTGGGTTTTCACGGCAGTCTGTCAATATTAAATAAAGGCTAAGTTCCCATCCTAAATGTTATGTTAACATGAAGTTACAGCAGAAAGCACAGAGCACAGAACAGCAATATGAGGGTATAAGATGTGTTATGAGGGTATTGTAACCATCTCGAATGAGGCATTTGAAACCCAGGGAATTCGAGATTTAGGGTTTGCATCATTTTTTGAGTTTGTAATTGAAAAACAATCCAAACATAGGAAGGCTTAGGGGCATGTTGCTGAGATTGTTTGGGTGCCTTTATTCTGTGCTGCGGGGACATGGGCAGATGGAAGGAAAAAGTCTTTGAAAAATGATAGAACCAAATGTGGAATTACAAGTGTTAAAATACCGTGATCTGGATTTGAGTGTTGAGACATTGTGGCTGTCCCAGGCAATGGTAGGGCTGCTGGATCTGGACTGTGCATCTCTATATCTGGACATATTTGGCTGTCGCTGATGTAACTCACCACTGTGCATGATGCTTCCTAAAACTTATAACTGAAAACAGTTGCAAGCCCACTAGCATCATTTTGTTTAAGTTAAGGACGTGTACTTGGAACTTCAATTCTACCTTAGCTTATGTTTTTTGTCTTCAGATTTCCATCTTTTTTAAAAGCTATTAAAAGAACCATGATGAGGATTAAACAAAAACCCTAAGGACTATCATCAGAACATAATTCTGAGGAGCTGCAGCAAGAAGCTGCTTTTTGGCTGTATTTTGTAAAAAGAGATTCCTCATTGTGCCACGACAGGGTGTGCGGCTGCTCCAAGGGCACCAGGTGGGTGGTGAATTCGGCCCCAATTTTGCAGCGACTGGTGTGCTCAGCCCAGCTGGGCAGCTGTGGGCTGTGGAGCAGCGCTGGCTGGTGCCACGAAATTGCTTGGCTGGAGGAGCTGCTTGAGGAGCAATGCCCATGGCAGTGTGTGGCCGCAGCCCCGAGGAAGCTCTCAAGTCGGGAAATCAGTGGGTAAGCCACCGCTGGCAGGGCTGTGGTGTTCCTGCAGAGGGAAAATGATGACGGGTCAGTTGAAATGACTCTGCAGGGAGTTGTGGGCACTATCATAAAGACTGGAAGCTGCCCATAGCTTCCAGTCATACAAATTAGATACGACAGTCATTAATGATTTGGCTTTATCCTAACCTGTGGTACCCGAAGGAGCCTGACCGAAGAGGTTTGCCTTCCAGCAATGCCAGGCAGAGTGATGAGGCTGAAGCACCTTTGAGATCCCACTTGGGAATGCAGCTTTCAGGGGTCCCAGGCTGTCATTACACCCCTGGGATGTCACTGTTAGTCCAAGGTCCATTCTCTGATGAAGGAGGAGCATTGCTGCAAGAAATATTAGACAAGTTATGGTTTTCTGTTGGAGCTGGAGGCAGAGCAGGGCAGCTGAGGCACTGCGTGCGCTGTGAGGCAGCTCCAGTGGTGGTGGGGCAGAGCAGAGTTTGGGGCCTCTGGGTGCCTCAGCTGTATTTTTGTGCCTCAATTCACTGTTTGTTTCTTAGCCTTCAGCAGCTGTTTGGGGGGATGCAGTGGCAGCAGTGTCATGCTCGCTTTGGGTTGGTTTCTGTCACTGCCTGGTGGGGCAGGAGGAGGTGGAGGAGAATGATGCGCAGAGGTGATGGGGGTCAGGGATGGACCAAGGATCAGCCCGGTCATGATCGCTCAGCCCTCATGTCGTGGCCATGCTGTGGATGGGGCAGAAGCTGCTACAGCTTCTCCCCATCTTTTATACCACCGTCCTTGTCTGGCGTTGCCTGCAGTCCCTCTGCGGTCTCTAGAAAGGTGCCTGCATGCCCAGCCTTGTGAGGCCTTGCTGCTCTGGCGGGCTGGACAGAGTGACATGATTTTCTGGGCTGAGTATTTCTCATTACGCCTGTCATACCCTGATTTCTGAGCCTGCTGTGCTCCCTGGGCTTATCGGGAGGGCAGACACAGCACGGGCCCATTTCTTTAATGACCAGCAGTGAATTGCCTGCACATGTGCAGTGCAGGTTTGAGACGCCCTCCACGGGTTTGGTTAGTGTTTTTTTTTCCTGCGGATTTTCCTTGTTGGACGAGGTGTTCTCCATTTGTGGAGTCCCTGCCCAGCTGAGCCTTCACCAGCACCGCGTCCTCCCATCTGCATGCAGCCCTTATTTTGTGCTCCAATAATTCCAAGGCAGCTCTGCTCTCCTCTGAGCTCGGGAGAGATTTACCGGGTGGGCATGTAAGGATGCTCTGGGGCGAAACGCAGGTGCCCTGCCGCC